TTCCCTGTACGTTTTCCTGCAGCATTTTGACAGCTGATGCAATGCAATTGGCAGGCATTTTGTAATTCTTTATGTTTGTGTGAATACATTTCAGTCAACCTGAAAGTGTCTTCTACTGCTAGATATTTCCTGAGCAGTTACTACAAAATATTCTGTGTATTTGTGGGGTTATGCAATGATTCAGCCTGAAACAGGTTAATGCATTTTTCTTGTAACCCAATGCTGGCAACTTCATTGAAGATATTAAGACCCAAATCCAATCTCAAGTCAGGTCAGTTAGTCCTTCTGTTCACTTTTGCAGCCAGCTTTTAGTTATAATCTACTAGTTTTGTTCTTTTCCTGGCATTTCTATTTTGGTGTAAAGATTAAGACATTTAGAAACTGGCTTTGTTTGGCTTATCCCAGGCATCTTATGTATGTGTCTAAGCACTGTTTTGAATCAGGATGGTTTTTAAGCTGGGCCCATTGCACAGTACAAGGGATGGTTGAGTTTGTTGGGTTTTTTTTAGATTAGTGGTTATATTTGTTGGATTTCTAAAATTATTACTGTTTTTTTTGCTTTTGGGGGCATGTTTAATGGTGGCAGGTGAGTTCTCATTGGGAAGTGAACTACGGATAGGTAGGCCTTTATTCACTAAACAGTAAGTCTTGCCTGTTTGACCAAATAACTTGAGAATTACACTTTGTGGAGGAAAAATTCAACCAACAGTGGTGGCAGCCTCTTCCACCTTCTGGGTAACTGGGAGGAGCTCGTTTCCTCTGCTGCGCTTGAACTTTTATTGTTGTGAATTCACTGTGTGCTGGGTGTTTGGCCACCTGGATGTGGGGGGAGCTTTTTGCCCCCAGGCTTGGTGGCTGTGCAGCCCCACCCAGGAGGCCTGTCTTTCTGGAAATGGTCCCTTCAGAATGCATCTCAAAAGAATTCATGAGGTTTCTTTCATGCAAAGAGCAGATAATTTGAAAGAATGCTTGCAGCATGCAGAAACGCATCTGAGAATGGTTGTTGCATATGCATAGACTTTTATGGCTGTAATTAGTCTATTTTACATTTTACTTTGAGCTGTAGACAGAAATGGCAGTTCCCTGTGACTTCTGTGCAAGATGAGAGTGCTGGAGAAGGATGCTCAAATTTTTCATCATTTCACCTGTTGTTTCAGTGTAGAACCTTACCTTTTACCTTGGGCTCTCTGTCCACTGACTGCAACAAGAGCAAATCCACTAACGTGAACATCTGGACAAGACTGTCTTCCTGTTTACACACTGCACTGATAGGAACTTCTGTTAGGTTTTTATTCTTCTCTGGCTGCTTAGCTCAAGTTTGAGATTAATGACTTGGAGCAATACAAGTGATTAAATGACAGACAAATGCCATATTCTATCCAGAATATGTAACAAATTAAACTACTTAATTACAGTGGTATGTCTGTAATGGCAGTTCCTAGAAAGTAAATACAAGCTCACAGTATCACATTGATGCTGTCTTTGAGACTATTGCTTCTAGTAACACTAGAAGATAAAGACCCGCATATTTATGCTAATATCTGTAACTTGAATTTTGAATTTCTAAGCCAAAATAATGTTCTTGGAGGATTTTTTTGGTGCAAAACCCCCACTTGGATTCTAAAACTGTTGCTTTCTAAATTTATTGATCGTGCTGTCAGTAATAAAGACATTTCTTTATAATCTAATGTCCCTTAGTTTCGCATTGGACCTCCTTGGCTGTGTTCACCTACCTGTTATCCACTATGCAGACTGAAGAAAGATGTCTTGCAACCCATGAATTTTTCTGTAATGCAACTTCAGGATAGGAGACACGTGGATAGAGAGAAGGGAGTACAGGGAAGCAGAGAGATGATACTGAGCAGCACAATAAGCTGTGGTCTCGGCACATCAGCTGTAGCATCAGATGATCCCAACATGTGCGTCTCTTGAAAGTCATCAGAGAGGCATTTCCAAAGCATTAGTGGGGAACATCGTAGAATATGGATATAGTCAGGAATCTAGCCTTGCTTTCCTCCTGGGTGGCCTGAAGTCATGCAGAATTAACAATGCAATGCCATAGATGTTTGGCTCAGACTCTTCCTCAGGCCTGGCTCTTCTAGTGGTTCTTCCTTTTAGTGCTCAACACACAGCCTGTACTGTCCCACCTGTCCAGGGAGAGGGCTCCTGAGTTGCCTGTCCTTGGTGAGTTACATGTGCTGGGGAGCCACAGGCACTGCTGAGCAGTATAACCAAGTAGATCCAAATTGACTGCTGGGACAGGAGCAGTAGAGAGGTCTGAGGGAGAATTAGGTCTCCTGAGTAAATTACTACCAGCCCATGATAGCACAAGAAAATGCTGTACAGTTACTGGAGTATGAGATGTTTGTTGAGTACCAAATAATGGAATTAGAACCAGAAGCAGGAAGATTTATATAGCTGCTGTTCGCTTGGGAGCCAGGTGCCTTCTGCATACAGGGTTGAACTTTGGTGCAGAGCTCTGAAAAGAGGTTGTTAAGGAAAGCGAGAGCAGCTAAATGCTTCTGTCATCCCGTGGCTTCCTCTGAGCTGCAGTGGTGGGAAGCACCATCAATGTAAAGGGGCAGAGGTAGCTGCTTTGTGCTTTACACCAGTATCAGTGGCTTTGTGGGTGCAAGGCAGTGTGACAAGGTGGACCATGGACTTGTGCTAAATCCTTCGGGCTGGCTTGCAGAGTTGCATCAAGCAGACAAGACTAATTTTACATTTAGGAGAGTGCAGAGTTGCTGAATGCCTGCCAGGAGTATTGCCATCTTCTCTCCTCATAAAACAATTGAAAGTACTGCCTGGTCCTTTTGGGACAAGAGGTAGGGGAAGCTGCTTCCCATTATGATAATTCATGTGGGACTCCAAATGTGCTGACGTTACTCTGTACCTTCACAGTAACCAACAGAACTGAACAAATCCAGCAGGATCATTCCCACATCTCCTCCATAACTGCTTTACCCTAAATCAAGTATCTAGCTGACGTACCTATCCTCTTTTATTACCTTAAGGTTGCTAATAAGATCAGTCGTTGCTTACAGAGTGGCATGTTCATTGTGGATTAGCTGTCCTGCGTATCTTCTGTTGTATCATATGCCACAACAGGCAACTGCAGAAGTCACTCGGTCACAGGCAGTTTGGACCTCTCTCCTCTAAAGCTTGCTAGAATGTTTTGGCAGCAGGCAGGACGATGGGCCAGGAAACTACTCGTTTTGCTTGCAAGGAGGGGGCAGGTCCATCCACCATCCAGGTACCTGATCAGGGCACTTTTGTCTTGGTGTAATCTGTCCCTGCCTGCACTAGATGACATCACATCCCCCCCCTACCCTGCCCCAGTCCTAGCTTATACAACAGTAGTGTTGCAAATACATTAACATTCATCTCAGACCCCTCAACAGTCCCCTGCATTTTGGGACATGCAGTGATCCCCTTGTACAAGCTGCCCTTCCAGTCCCAGCTGCTGGTTTTGTTTAGCTGGTGACAGTTCCCTGCAGTTTGGCAGATAGGTCATGGTGGCTAATGAATAGGAAGTATTTTGGCCTTTTCGCGATGCATACTTCAGCTTTTTGCACTGCACTTGGCTTAGATAATGAGGCTCATCTGGGTAGTTGCTAGATCAGGCAATAGCTTAGAGTTTAATTCAGAAATTTGCATTTTAGAAGTCACGTGCAAAGTCCAGAAATCCATCCCAAGGCTCAGGGACAGAACTAGACAACAGAGGGATGCAAGCAGCCACGAGTACAGCACGGGGAAATGACGCGGGCTGAAGGGGGTTCTCCCCAGGGCATGGGTGCAATGATTTCACCTGACTTTAGTATCTATAGTGTTGATGTTTATAGTACTGCAGGGCAGACTGTTGCCGTTCATGGAGAGAAATATGTGCTTTTTTGTTACAGTTCATCTCATCTTGTGATCTGGATGTTTAAGAGAGGTCTGATGGAAATCATGATCTAGATTATTCTTTTCTCAATTAACTACCAAGGTCTAGATGGCAAGCTCTGATGCCAATCTGAAGTCAGAAGAGATATCACCCCAGTGTTGGGCTTTCTAGTCATTTTTGTTGGAAATTGCAATAAATGAGAATTTCAAGGAAAAGTGAGAGCAGTGAGGTAGTTTAACAGATATTCCTCCAACACATAGGGACAAATTTGCCAAAATCTACAAATATGCTACTTAGATAATTTGAGGGGCTGAGAAGGGGTTTTGACATGGGAATATGCTGTAAAAACTAGAAATAAAGAAAAGTTTGTCTACAGCTTGAGAGCTGTGCTACAAACAGCTGTAAGAAAAGTAAATGGTCTCCCTGGTTCATTTGCTTGTCAGCGGCACAACTCTGTCTAGACATCGGATATTCTCTCTCTTCAGGATTGTTTTTTTCATTTTCACCCACCAGGAGAGTCTGGCACATCTCTGCACATTTCAGTGTGTTGTTTAGAAGAGCTTTTAATGTAGCGGTGCTCTAAGTTCCACAGTGGCTGTTGTTCAGGCCTTCTCCTCTCCTGTCAGCATCCATTTGCCCAGGGTGTTAGACCTGTAGTTTGGGCAAATTCTGCCTCCATTGGCAGAGTGGTACCTTGCTGATTAGGGTGGGCCTGTTGGTTGCTGAAGAAAACACTGAACGTAATTCACAGCAGGAAAAACAGACCATAAATACCCATTTTAGTTTAACTGCAGCATGTTATGGTACAAACTCCCACTTAGACAAACATCCAAGAACTGACCGAAGAGCTCACTGGCAGATGAATGAGGCTACAAAAATTCCCTCTGCTCGTATATTTTCATTAAAGATTTCGCGTAAGACTTTCCTGCAGATGTAGAGCAGAGGCCTGCTGAGCCAATTTAGGTAGGTTTTGACTAAAACATGGCTCTCATTTACAGGAAACAGCTTGGTGCGACAGTAAGTGCTTCATAAAGCCATGCTTGTCATCACCTTCTGCTAACATCATTTCTACTGATTGTAGATCTTTGTAACAAAATGTTCTTCCTGGTTTGCTTAGGGTGAAGAAACTGAAGGAAACACTTGCTTTTATACAACTATTGGACAAAAACATGAGTAACCTTCGCACCTGGTTGGCCCAGATTGAGTCTGAGCTTTCCAAACCTGTTGTTTATGACGTCTGTGATGACCAAGAAATCCAGAAGAGACTGGCAGAACAGCAGGTGGGAAATAGGAGCAGCCAGAGTAAATGAGCTAAAATGCTGCTGATTACAACTGGTCCTAGTTTAAAATCACCTGTTTCTTTTCTTTAGCAAGGCCTTCTAACTGTGCTTATCACAGCACGTCCCTGCCAAGATGCATTACATGGAAAATTTTTATTTGCTTGCTGTAATTTAAGTATTGTGTTGACTTACCCCCCACTTCTCCCTTCCCCCCTCCACCTAACAAAAACATGCAAAATACAGACAAAAGCATTCTTACATTTGATAGTTTGGTCAGTTAAGTACAGCAGACTTCATAAGGTCTAGGCAGGGCACAGACAGTGTGCAAAATCCATGAGGGTGATGTTGGCTGACAAGGCGTGAATGCCAGGTCTCCTGCAAACTGGCTGTCACAGATTTTAAGTGCTGTGATTTGATGTATTGCCCTCAATACCTCAGTTCTCTTCCCCTCCTTGCAGACAGCAGCTTTGGAGGGTGGACTTGTGCAAACACACCTTTGACTGAGGCCTGATCCAGTAAACAGGCTCTGAAGATCCCCTCAGGGCTGAGTGAGATGGTGCGTGAATCCTGCTGAGACATAAGTGGGAACCTACCTAGCACTGTCAGGTGCTGGTTGAGCGCATGTAGGTGTTTATCTGAGACAGTGGCTCACCTGGGGGATCTTAAGGATCTATGCTAGTTTTAAGTGCTGGAGATGTCAAGGATTGGGCGCAGCTGAATGTGCCAGCTATCCCAGCCAAGTGGAAGTGCGAGATGACTTATAGTCCTGGAGAAAATTTCTCTCTTCAGCCGTCAGGGAACGAAAAGGAACTTCTTCAAAGCACAGACTTGCTCATGGAGTCAGTCTTTGCTCAGGGCTGTGCTATAAGTCTGCCCAGGTTCAAAGTGCCTCCTTGGGAAGGCTGAGAATGACCATGGCTGTCACCCGGCCTTTGTGTTAAACAAGAATATTTGCCCTGAAACTGAGGATCAAGAATAAAGCTGTCAAGCATGGAAGCTTTATGGCATCTGCCTTTAAGAACACCTGTGAGTGTTCTTCCCATCCTTCCCATCTTCTCTATCTCTGGCTGCTGCTTTTGTGTCTAAGGAAAGATCCCTGAGTGACTCAGACCTGAGTACTGTGTTCTCTGCTGGTTGACGTGGCTCTCCATCCACTCATGTCCCAGACGTTGTGGGAAGGGCCAGCTCCTCTGCGACAGGAGTGGAGATAGCTCCTGCCAACTCCACTGCAAGATGCTGGTCAAACATGAGAAGTCTTGGCCCAGTGCATCTAATGGTTTCATCTGCATTGTGAATGATCATGTAAACAATAAGGAAATATTTTCTCCCCATCCAAGTTTTTTGCATTCTCAAAGGCTGTGATAAATTGCGAGGCAGAGGCGAATGTGGGGCACAAAGGAATTGTGTCCAAACTAATTTATTTTTGTTGTGAGCATTCAAGCTTCAGCTCACTGTAAGAGCCATCATTTGCTGCTCAGAGCTACTTACTGCTTTGTTGTTTGGATTCGGTTTCAAACACAGACCTGGGCACCTCTAGACTCCTTCTACTGTAACCTTTTAGCAGGCTGAGTGTGAGAAGACTGTGCTGACTAAAAAGACCACAGTTTAAAAAAGCTTCTTTTGCTCTGCATTAGAGAAACCTTTATCTGAATGCAACAAGTAAAAAGATCTTTCCTGGTTTTATCTGAACAATTGTTTCGGCAAGAGCAGAGTGGTGGTGAGAAATGTGCCCTACAGGCTTCTTTTATTTGACAACCATGACTGGAAAAGCTTTACTTGTTCAGTCTTGAATAATGACATTTAAAAGCACTGTGCATCCACGAAGATGTTTTATGGCATGTTTGTTCAATTAAAGGATGAAGATTAAAACATGAATAATATTTTTAAGATTTCAAAGCTGTTTCACTAACGCAGAAGTCTAGCAGCATGTAGTCTGTTTAAGGTCTCTGGGCAATGCTGTGCAGAGTTGAGGGAAAAGTACCTTTTTGGGCTCAATGTATATTCTTGACCCCATTACATATTTTGTTGTGTTTGTCTTGCCATAATGCAGTCAAGTAATTTGGAATAACAGCTTGAAAAACAGCAAGGATTCTGTCTAGGGTTATTCCATGAACCTAGGCACAGCCAGAAGTAATGAGATCACATCAGTGATATTAACATAGTGCAAGTGGAATGGATTTGTAATCTTTGGTCCAAATTCTCATTTTCACTAATACAGCTGTAAATCCAGTGTAATTTAATGAATTCAGAATAGTCTCTCCAGGTACCAGTAGCGATGCTCTCAGATGTAGCGCCTGTGTTAAAAGGACACTGCTGCATCTTGCTCAGAAAACAGCTGTGAATCCTTAATTAGGTGTCAAAAATTCTGTTGGGTCTGCTTCTGGCAGTCTCTCATCTATGTAAAGATTTTGGCTTCTACATTCCTTAAAGCTGTACATTACCACAAATCCCACAAGCCAAATTTTGACCATTTCTGGCTTAGCCCTTTCAGGTACATATGTAACTCCACTGAAGACTGCCACTGGGTGATACTCAACTCCTTGCAGCTATTGACTTTTGGGAAAATCTTCCTTCAACTCCTTTTGGATTTACTACAAGCTGTGTCTGTTTTGGAGCTTTTTTTTTTTATTTTATTTTGTTTGGGTTTTTTAAGTCTAGAGCAAAACCAATTCTGCTTTATCTGTTCACTAAAATCAGCAATACCATTTAGTGGGAGTTCTCACGATTGCCAGTGAAATATTAATTTGTGTTTGTTGTTGTTCTAGTGTTATTCAAGCAAAAGTCTCCATATCCTTCATAAGGAAGGCCAGAAATAGGTTGAAAAAATGGAAATGTAGTGGACATTGTCATTTCATTAATATTTACAGTTGGCAGCATTGTACAGAGCTGCCTTTTTAATGAGAACTATTTAGATAAGGCTTGCTTTTTCTGTTATTCAATTACATTGACTTTAGGAGTGGTTATAGGTACAGAATGAGAAGCCAGACTATGGTGGAGGTGCACGCTCTGGAGAAGAAACATATAGTGTAAGTTAGACAAAAGGTCTTTGCCAGACCCTTTAAAATAGTCTGTCAAAACAGGAACTTTACAAGAGGGAATAACTAGTGTAACACCAGGTACTTGCGTGCTGAGTTTCACATCAGCCCGAGATCATAGAGTCACTAAAGTACATGAACTGTACTACAAGTTCTTTGTCAAGTATTACAGTGTAGTAAACTGATATAAGACACTGTCACCTTGTACTGTCAAAATCAGTAAGTATGTGTTTACGATATATGTAAGGTTTGGATTTTGAAAGCACATTAAAATTGTCCAGACTGTTAATGAGAAGATTGAGCTTTCACTGAGAAACCAAAGCTGGACAACCCCTTTTTGCGTGGCAGTTCTGTCCTAACCTGACAGCCTGTCATCTGCACAGCTCATCTTGCAAGTCCGTTTTCTAAAGCTAAATAAGCTTTTCCCGACACACAAATTGCTCTTTCCTCATCCTCTGCAGCATTTTGAAAGGGTATGTCTGAAGTCTAGCCATGCGTGTTTCCTTCTACTCAAGCTATTCTTTTGTAATGGCAGGATCTCCAACGAGACATAGAGCAACACACTGCAGGGGTGGAATCAGTGTTTAATATTTGTGAAGTCTTGCTACACGATTCGGACGCGTGTGCTAATGAGACAGAGTGTGACTCCATCCAGCAGACTACCAGGAGTTTGGACAGACAGTGGAGAAACATTTGTGCCATGTCTATGGAGAGGCGAATGAAGTAAGTCTCTTTTTCTTACCCCTCCTAAAGAAGTCTGCGGCAGCATTTTGAAGAAACACTGCAGCTTGTGCCACAAACTGAATTTTGAAAAAGAAAAAAATTCCAAAATTAATAGTTAGCTTGTGATAAAACCTTTCCATTTTTGCATCTCCCTCTCAGAATCGAGGAAACCTGGCGCCTATGGCAGAGGTTTTTGGATGACTATTCAAGCTTTGAAGATTGGCTAAAATCGTCTGAATGGATAGCAGCTAAGCCTTTTTCTTCAGAGGTTTTGTACACACATGCAAAGGAGGAGCTGAAGAAATTTGAGGTGAATTTTTTAACTTCATTTTTTTTTGTGCTCAGGAGTAGTCTGGATTGTCAGGCTGCTAAATACTTACTGTCTGTGTGAAGTGCCTGGATCACTGAAAAACACCAGTTCAGCAGTGGGTAGTAAATAAATAATTTGGCCAGTGTGTGGCTACTAGGTATCTGGCTGATTTATTTGTCTCCAGAATTAAAAATATAATGTGGAGAATCCAATGCTCTGAACTAACAAGATCCTGCTAGTAAGTTAAATATTTGCTTTTTATAGGCAGGAGAGCTTTGTGGGTTGGGGTGGTTTTTTTCTTTCCTTTTCCTAATGAGCTAAGTCTGATCAGATGATTTAAAATATGGGTCCTTCTCTGGATTTAACTGTGCAGTTGGAAGGTCTGTTTTTAAGGGGGGAGGGCATCATCATTTCTCTTGGTGGATAGTATCCAGATCCCTTCTCTTATCAGCAAGGGAACTGAGTTCCTTGATTTGCCTTGCAGGCGTTCCAACTGCATGTTCATGAACGACTCACTCAGTTGGAGCTGATCAATAAGCAGTACAGGCGCCTTGCCCGTGAGAACCGCACCGACGCAGCCAGCAAGTTGAAGCAGATGGTACATGAAGGCAACCAGCGCTGGGATAATCTCCAGAAACGAGTTGCTGCCATTCTGAGGAGACTCAAGGTAGTTGCACGGTGGGGTGAGAGAGTGAGGAGCACTTGCAAGTTTCTGTAGAAATTACCCAAGGGCAAAACACGTACTGGAGCAAATATCTTGTGTTGGTTTGTGTCTTGAGTTACCAGTTGTAGGAGAGCAGCCCTGGAAAGGTCACCAAGTACACGGCATAAACATGTTCTTGGTAGTTGAAAAAGCAAAAGGAAAGAATGGGTGCAGATTTTGGAAGGTGTGTTGCAGGCCTTACTGCTTCTGTCCCACTCTCCTCTTACCCAGTCCTGTCCTGGGTGGATGCGTTCATGTACTTGCACCTTTCCATAAATAAGAGGCAGAGAGACAAAAGAACCCCAGCGCAGATACAATTTGGAGTTTACAACGGAGCTCTACTTAATGCAAAGCTGTGATTCACCTACAAGGCTTTAAACATGTAGATGTGATGGAGAGACATGCTGCTGTCACCAGCTCCTGCTGTGCTCTCTGCCTGAATGTTGTCGAAGAGTGTTTGTGACACTTCAAAGAAGTGTCCTGCTTGTCAGTTAAACTGATCTCTGGGCAGATATTCTGTGCTGTGCCCTGGGGGAAACTTGTCACTGCCTGATTTTTAAATACAGCAGTGCTGCAAGCAATTGACAGGGAAAACTATTAGATCCTAAAAGTCAGTGGATGGGGCTGTGAGAGCGCTGATGGGATTTGATCTGTTCAGTTAGGAGGTGGTGTGTTTGGGCTTTCTTATAATCCCCTTCCTGAACAGTAAATCCGCTGAGGGGAACTGGGGCACTGTGAGCTGCATGTCTGTTAGCAACTTCTGTGGGACTTGGCAGCAGAGAGGGCTCCTCCTGGCTTCCATGCCAAATGGTGCATCAGTTACACTGGCGTGGTCATCCATGATCCAGCCTCTCCATTGTTTTATTGAGTTTAATGCCATACTTTAATTACTTTAATTAGAGATGGGGCTTGCTTCCTTTGTCTGCCTTTCTTCTAAATTTAGAACAAATTAGATGTTAAACCTAAGTCCAAATGACTGTTACACTGGTATAATGGGAGAAGATATACAGTGTAGAAGCAAGAATATCATTCTATGGAAGCGTCTTGCACTGCTGAAGTTTTATTCCCTCTCCCATACAAACAGTGTACTGACATAGGACACTTTGTTCTAGCATCACTACGGAAAGGGCACAGTTTTTATACATGCCATGCTGCCATTTGTGCCCTGAAGGCCTTTAAGGTGAATAGCAGTTCTGAAACAAAACAGTTTTCAGACAGCTCCTGTGACCATCTCTTTTAGTAGCTGAAGTCATATAACACTGGCTCCCTTCTTCCTATTCAGCACTTCACCAATCGGAGAGATGAGTTTGAGGGGACGAGGGAGAGCATCCTTGTCTGGCTCACAGAAATGGACCTCCAGCTGACAAATGTGGAGCACTTCTCAAAAAGTAACTTTGATGACAAAATGCGCCAGTTAAATGTACGTATCTTTACAAAGCAGTTGTTTAATATATTGGGCTGCCCTCTCTTGACAGAATCATGTACTTTTCTGGAACTTCACAATAGCCAACAAATCTCTGTAGGGCTATATTTGTTTCAAGAAGCCACGAAATTGTTAAGACGTATGCTCTGAATCAATATTAAACTGTACAGTATTTAAATTCCGATTCAGTGTTCAAGCTCCGTTCTGTTCTGCCATTTTCTCTGAACATGGGGTGTCAGTGACAGTGATATCTGGTCTGGAGAGGAGCACGTGCAGGTTAACATTCCTAAATTCAGGTGGTCTTTTCTGGTGAGAATTTTTTTGAATTGGCACTAAGGTAGGATCTCTCCGAGTGCATTGGTTGTAGCTCAGACTTTCCAATAGAAGTAAGACAGCAGGCATTTGCAATGATTCTAAAGAACATACTAGTTCTTTGCTACCTGCTCATATGCTCATTTCTTCTTTCCCCCTGCACTGTTAATTGTTTTGGGATGTAGATTTACTGTTGCGTAGGCTGGAGGCCCAAGCAACCAAACTTCTTTGCTAGTGAGAAAAAGGTTGTGTGTGCCCAACAGAAAAATAAACTCTGATTAGCTGAACTCTCATATAGTGATCTACTGCAGGCTCAGGACACTGCGATCGTATTGCTGTACACATGGGTGGAAAATGCCACTCATTTGTAACTGTAAACCTGCTAATAAAACAAACCTCTGGACCTCTTCAATAAAAAGATATTTGCCAAATGAAATTAGAGAACAATGTCAGTTGCTGCTTTTCTTTCACTGCAGTGAGCGAGAAGAAAAGGACAAACCTTAGGCTGGAAAGGGGCGTTACAAAAGTAATTATTTTTCTTGTATATTCCAAATAGGGTTTCCAGCAGGAAATAACACTAAACACCAATAAGATTGATCAGCTAATCGTTTTTGGGGAGCAGTTGATTCAGAAGAGTGAGCCTTTGGATGCTACTGTGATTGAAGGCGAATTGCAAGAACTTCATCGATACTGTCAGGAAGTGTTTGGGCGAGTTGCCCGGTTCCATCAAAGACTGACTTCAAGGCATCCTGTAAGAAGCAACACTTGTTTTGATGCTTTGGCGAGATTTTGGTGTTTGAACTGCAATGCTCATTGCTTATCCCTAGCAGCTTGACTGAGTGGTTTGCGCTCAAAGGGGTCAGGAGCTCCTCAGTAGTTGTGCCAACTTAGCTACATCTTTGTCCCTGGTCTTGTACTCACACCTCTCGTGTTGGGTCTCCATCTGCAGAATCTGGATAATAGCATGGAAGTAATTCACAGAGTTAATATTTAGATAGTGGTTTGAGGGCTTCAAAAGCTTTTTTGGTGTTTTTAGTATCACTTTGTTTTCTTTAATTTCAATAACGTGCCTAGAATATCTTTCTAGGGATTTGTTTGTGAGTCTCCATCTGTCCGCTTTCTTGTGGGAACTCTGAATGGGGAACAGCACGCTCTTTACTTTTCACTGGGAAGATTTAGCTGATTCTCAGTTTGCTTTGGTTCAAAAAGAGAGAACATCTATTAAAAAGCCAGGAAGAGGAAGTAACATGAGCATCTACGAGTAGCTGTTCACCCCTGCCTGAATATCGTTTTATTGCTGACCTGTGCCGTCCATTTGGAACTGGGTAGCCCTCCCTGCAAACTACAGGGAGATGTTATGGTGGTGGTGGAGTGGCTTGGAAGAGGGGAGGTAGCTGCTGATGTGAGGATTGTTTGGGAAAAGAGGAAGGAGGCAGAAATGATGCTGCTTCTAATTTTATGTACGTGGTCTTCAATTACTGCAGCTGATTGCAAAACAGTCCCCAGTAGTACTGTGTGGCTCAATCATTATCTCATTATGCAGTGTAAACCTATTGTAAATGTTATTAATGTGCAATAATTGTTATACATTTTTAGGGATCGGATGATGAAGATGAGACCTCTGAAAGTGAGACAGATCCAGAAGACTCCAGAGAAATCCAGAATGATCCCTGGCATAAGAAGGCCATCAGTGAGGGGCCCTCTTCGCCACAGTCTCTTTGTCACCTTATGCCCCCTACTCAAGGTCAAGAAAGATCAGGCTGTGAAACCCCTATCAGCGTTGACTCTATCCCACTCGAGTGGGATCACACAGGTGATGTGGGAGGTTCGTCCTCTCACGAAGACGAAGAAGAAGCAACATACTACAGTGCTCTGTCAGGTGAGAACCAATTGCCAGCTGTTTGTTTGGACATGGACAACTGCCGGATGTCGCTCTGTGGGAAGGGAGGGGGTTGAGGTCTTGCTCCCCACTGTTAGTTGGTTTTCAAGTACTATTAATAGATGTGAGCAGTCTCATCTCTTAGATTTCTTGATGAAGGGAATACTATTGTCTAAACCAAGCTTATATTTTGAGAAATATAAGGTTTTTAGAAACCTTACTCTTTAAGAATGTTCGATGAAACTTCTTATTTTATTCTTTGTCTTTGTGTCCCTCATTGTTTCAGTTGTTTTTAATAGTTGGAAAATATTGACTAGTGAGGAAAATGACATTATTCTTTTTTCAGATGTAGAAATCACTGAAAATCCTGAGGCATATCTTAAAATGACCACAAAAACTTTGAAAGCATCTTCTGGTAGGCACCTGCTAATGCATGTGTCTGAACATGGCAATCTCCCTGTGCTGCACGCTATATTCCTCAACCTCTCTCATATGTAATGTCTGACTTCCTGCCTTGTGTGGACACCATGTCTCATCCTGTCATGGTGTTCTTACGCTGCAGTATTCACATGTACATTACAAAGCAGTCAAAAACATACCATTTAGATTTTGCCTGGTAAATGCCAAGGTGGTTAATGTGCATTTCATTGCATTGATCCAAAGTCTTTTGGTACTCTCTTGGTGGTTTGCTCTGGGTAGTATCACTTTTTTGGTTGTTTCTACTTTTGATTGCATAATTACTGAAGGAAATGGTTCCAACTCTGCGAGTATTTTTTGTGTTTTGTGCATGACAGAACCATGTGTGTCCTGTCTGTTAAATCCAGACCAAATGTTCTCCAAATCAGGACGTGTCTATGCTTGTCCCTACTGAAACGCGTTGCAGATATGTGATAGTATTGTTGGGGTGCAAACTTTCCAAAACCACAGTGCAGCCTTTTTCTTTTATTTTTTGAATACTCATACCTGTATTCAAGCATTTTCCAGAAGAAAAACGAATGTCCCATAACTGCATGGCTCTCATCTCATTACCTTTGAAACACTGTTGATGTTTTGCAAATGTGCATGCTTTGCAAGGAAAGCTGCAAAACTGTCATTTTTATGCCATAACTTGATGCCATTTTATTCAGAGCGCTTTCTAACTTAATACAAAGCAACAGCTTCCTTGTGGAGGTGGGATTTTGCACTCATGGCATACGGTTTTGGTTTTATTTGTTTCAGGAAAGTCTGTTTCAGAAGCTCGTCCTTGGCATTCTCCAGATAGCCCAGTCTGCAGGAAACACCGATACAACCAGGCAGAGGTGGTTGGAAATGTGTTGTCTGGTCCAGAGACAAGTACCCCCTATAAACCAGACTATGTGAGTTGGAGGCTCTGTGGGCACAGAGCCTGTACCACACAGTCTGCTTGTTGTTTCTGTGTAACTCCATCCTTTTCCCTCCTCCAGCATCAAGGAAAAGATTAGTCACGGGGGGAATGTTCACTTTGTGCAAACTTAGACGTTATTTCTGTTGGCTCAGGTAACCAGTAGGACTCTATCTGCCCACTAGAAAAGCTTCTTTAAAGCAATTCAGAACAATCATGTTAGAGTCCTGAGCAGAGTCAGTGTCTGGAGTAACTTACTTCCTCTATTGTCATAGGACAAGTCTAGGAGAATTTAACCCCCTCAAGGAGAGAGTGTGAATACCCTCCCTTGATACTGACATTTCTGCCTTTCCTGAGCAGACCAATTTGAAGGGTCCTTTTCTAGCACGCAACCCACAATTTAACCTGCTTCTGGGCACTAAAAAATGTGCCAAAATGGCTATTGTTCATTGGTACCTCAGTCTTGGTGGCTGGTTGCCAGCCATGGCTTCACCAGCAGCTGCCAAGCTCAGTGGATCTGGACCCGTTGTCAGCACTCTTCCAGGCACAAGATGGTACTGGTATCTGGCTGCTTTTGTCATCATTAATCCATTCTTAGAGCCTTAGAGTCAATATTGCCAAGATCCAGAGTCCAACAAAGAGCATCAGGAAATGTACATTGTCCAGTACATGTAGTGCAAAAGCAATTAATTTGCCATATCCAGTCTTGTAATAATTAGTGTCACTATGGTATGTGTTTCTTTACTGAGAAGGCACAGAGAGCCAATATAAACTGTTAGCAAAGATGCAGAAACCCAGTGCTAAATCTGACATGCAAGAGCTCAGCACCAGCCCAGCCACCCCAAAGTAACGCAAATGAAGATTGACCTTTGGCGGCTTGTTAACCTGCAACGCTCACCCACCAAAATGTCATTCCAGGTGAAGCAGCTCAGCTCTGCAAGCAGCAGCAGCATCAACAAGGATACAATTACATCTGCTAACATAAGTGATGAAGAACCCCAAGGTGACCAAGAGCTTGTGAATATAGCAGCTGCAGAGGAGCAGTCAGGTACAGAGCATTGGGAGTGGCTTTGGTGCTGTGGTGTTTGTCCTGTGGCACTGGGGGAGACAAAGCAGAGGTGCCACAAAGACAGCAAATTTGCCTTGGGAACAAAACAGAAGTAAACCTCTATCCTCTAAATTAATGTATTTGGCTAAGACTCGCTGAGCTGCCTTCTCAACTCATACTGTCCAAGCCGTGTTTGCTCTTCTAAACTTTTACGTTTTCTGCCAGAACCGAGATTTTTATCACTCGTAATATACTTGTATCTCTTTGCTGGTTGGAATGAATGGGAACAATTTCACTTTTGTGCGATACTGAATACTTCAGAGACTTTTAATCAGATTTCAAACCAAAGAAGTGTGTCTCTTTGTCTAAAATAAGATTGCTATAGTTCACTTTCTCAGTTATTGGTACTCCATATAACAAGATGCTACAGGTCCCATTTACAGAAATGTTTTGTCAAAGCTGGTACTGTATTCTGTTCTTCAGTCTCTTGACTATGGTCCTTTCTTCCAAATAGGCCAACAAGCTGGTTCTCTTAACCTTTTAGGACCTCATTCCTGGTTTCAGGTGCTTGAGATTGTAATAAGAACACATCTGTATTGCAATCACAAAAGTGGATTGAGATAAAAAGATTGCAACTATATGCACCAGCTTACTTATTTTATGCCTCTGGTCTCACATATGGACCAGGGTTGAGTCCCATACATGGGATGAATAGGAAAACCTCTGAGAAGGGCTTAGATGTGCTTTTAGAAATAGTGTTAGTGTTCGCACAGGTGGTATCTCCATTTCCTTTAGCACTGAATTGATGAAACATAAACCCAAATCCTAACTGCTGGATCATACTTTGTCCCATGATGAATTTTAGTGTCTGCTAAATCACAACTAGGCTCATTCAATTCAGTCTCCTTAGATTTGCTTTATTCTTCCAGGTGAATTAAAACTTCTTCAATTCATTTAACTAAAATCCTGTGTAGCATTAGTATGTGGATAACTTGACCAGTAATATGAAACTTACAGACTGCAGAATCTCATGAAAAAATGTGTGTGGATAACAGTAGTACATGGTAGAAATTATTTGGCCTTGAGTAGACTGGAGAATAATTTACTCATAAAACTCCCTGCATCTGTTTTATGCACTGTTTACCTTACCGAAGATTTAAATGTTTGTTATTCTATCATCTGTAGGCATTATTGATAGGTGGGAGCTCATCCAAGCTCAAGATATCAGAAATAAACCTAGGACGAAACAGAAATTGCAGCCATGGCAGCAGCTGAACTCGGATCTCAGCGACATCTCTGCTTGGCTTGATAAAACTGAGGAAGAGCTGGAAGAGCTGCGAAAAGTGAAACCAACCGGCATGCAGGCATTGGAACAAAGGGTCAAGAAACTGAAAGTAAGTTATGGCATACTGAGAAGAGGGATTTCAAGATGCTGATGCTCTTTATCATTGTCTTTGTCGTCTGAGGGTTTGTCAAAGAATGAATGCCAATAACAATGTGCGTATTTCACAGAGGAGCTAAGCTGTTCTCAGCTAAGAGGACAAAAGAGGATAGTTTTCTTGCAGAGACACTTTATTCTCTCTCAAAAAAAAACATTCAACCCCAAACTTCTCTTTTTAGGCCTTTTGTTTTACTAAACAAACATAGAAAAAAAGCTAAATAATGAAGGCTTAGACCCCCCAAATATTTAGGGTCAGGTCTTGTCTTGGGGAGTTGGGTATTCTGAGCAGCAATATTGGCATTTTTTTCCTTGTTCTGTGCCATTCCCCTCTATGCAAGCCAGAAACAGATTGAAAATTAGCCACGTCTACAGGCTACAAAGTCAGTCTAGGCTGATTCTTTTTTTTTTTTAATTGAATTAGTGTAGGGGAAGCTCCAACAGGGAGACCGGGAAAGATCTGCTCTAAACTGTGTTTTTTAGCAATATGGTGTTTGCAAAAAATCTTAGCACTAAATAGCACCTTTGTCCTATAGTTGAAGGATACATCATTTCAAAATGTGCAGTTGCATTTTTTCGCTTAGCAAATGCAGATTTCTCATCAAATAGAATGTATTAGTTAAAAACGAGAAAGAAAATGAATTCAGTCTCTGCTAATCTTCAGCCAAGTAATAAAACAGGTAGAGAGACAAAAACGTGAACATTTGTCAGCATGTGTGGTCACATTATGTTACCTGCTATGACTCTGCTTCCATAAATTAAGTGGGACTAAGTCAGGTCTGCAAGTTGAACCAGCAGGTTACCAGAGCGCTATTGCCCTAGGACTTAGGTAAAAAAACCAAACAACCTCAGGTTGAGGTCTGAAAGAGCAAGTGTTCCTAACACCTGTGGGAGCGCAAAATCCCTGCGTGCTACCCTTCTGCTAGCAGCCTTGCATGGAGTCACCCAAATCCTGAGGCTACTGGTCAGTTTGGTGTCACACTTAGGATTGTGCTCACAAACAAGACCCTCTGGATGGAGGAGGGATTTCTGAGGCATGTTGAGAGTCTACATGTCCTTGAGTGTAGGACGTGGGGAATGACTCTGCATTCCAGTGTGTGACTCCAGTAAGAACAACTCTGATTCCATCAGCCAACCTGGCAATAGGAAAGGTTTGGTGACGCCTTGTGAGTGGAGGGAGGTGCTTCCTCTCAGGCTTGAGTTGGGTGTCTGACCTCTCCAAGGAGCAGAGCTTCACTTCTTCTCTCTTCTGTATTTTCTTAAGAGGAGTCCAGCCAGCTGTAAATCCCCCTTTCAGGCAGCTTGGCTTCCTATGGGTGTCCGAAAGAGCCAGCACGCTCCAAGACGTGAATTTCATGAGGTGTCAGGACATCGCAGTTGCACTGGATAAGGATAAAGCTAGTCTGGCTGCATACTGGCTTACCGCTGTTCAGAACTCTGTGATGGACTGTTTGTATTGTCTGATATTGAAAGAAACTTTGTTGCTTGGAGGAGGGAGACAGGGTTCTTTGTTGGGTGAAATGTAATTTAGACTAGCAGTTTTCAACAAGTGGGACGCAGATCTTGAGAATATATAGGTTGACACTCTTAGTTACAAAGGCTGCTAAGAAAAGCAATCTGAGCTGTGTTGATTGTAGGACTCATCCTGCAGCTCTTACTTTCTCCTGCAAGAGCCTACAACTTGAAAAAGTCTGAGTACCCTTGATTCAGGCTGTAAACTTCTTGAGGGTACGATGTATTGTTTGGCATTCTTTTTTTTAGAAAACTTTCAAAAATACAGCTCTGCCTTAACATAAAGGTGGTTAAGTAATACAGCCATGACTTCGTAAATTCCGTATTATTTCCCCCTGCGCTTTTAAGGGAGAAGAGGGGAGCAGGCAGGGCTGCCATTCGGGAGCATCTTGACAAGTTAGAGAAATGGGCTGACAGAAACTCTGACTAGAGAGAAGAAAAAGAATTTCTCCCAACGGGGTGGTCTGGTGTGGGACCAGGGGCCCGGAGGGACTGGCGAATCTCCATCCTGAGAGATACTCAGAATTTGGCTGGATGAGGCCCTGAGCAGCCTACTCCGACTTTGAAGTTGGCCCTACTTGGAGTAGGAAGATGGAGTACAGTGCCCATGTGAGGCATATTTTCTGTTATTATGCATCATAATTAGGTTCTTTATGAACAGTCTTTATGCTGGAGTAAGACTTCCAGTTTCCAAGATTTAATGTCTTTTCCATATGGATTAATTACTGCTAGAACTATTTCTAAATGCTAGTTCAAGCAGGTACAAGTTTCCTCAAGAGAACTTCATTTCCTATGTAGCTGTAATAGCCATTCCTATGTATTGCGGATTCTCAGGCAGGTTGAGTTGTTCTTTAAAGCCTTCCAGAGTTCCTCCTTTTATGAGAACATCCTTAAAGTTGAGAGTAACAGTCTGTTGCACTGGTTTTTGTTTGTTTGTTCTAAGCAACTGGAGAAAGAGCTGCTGGAACAACAGCCTAAAGTAAACTCACTTCAAGAGCTCACTGCTTACCTGCTGCATAAATCAGATGGTGATTACATTGAAGCTGATGAGAAGGTCCATGGAATTGGATGCAAACTGAAACAGCTTAATAAACAAGTTTCACATGACCTAAAAACAATACAAGGAAATTTGGTGAGTCAGACTTTAAATACTTGTTCGGGGATCTTTCTTATTGAAAAGTAATAACATTAAGAGTAAAGGTATTTATAAAAGACTGACTTAAAACTTAAGTACTTGCACCTTCATAACCTGAAAAAAGAACAATTATGTCTGCCTATAAGAAAAATGTCATCACTGTGAGGCTAGTACAGTATTGAAACGGATCGCCCGGAGAGGTTCTGCGGTCTCCATCCTTGAGGGCTTTGAAGAGCAGACAGGGTAGAGCTGTGAGTAAGGCTTTTGGTCTGGGCGCATAGCTGACCTCGCTTTGAGCAGGAGGTTGGACCAGGTGAACTTTCTGAGGTCCCTTCCAACCTGAACTATCCTATGATCCATACCAAGTACCCGGCTAGGAGCGTGTAATGAATACATAGGAGTTGTAGTTCATAGCAATATATTGCTTATCCTGAGAGCTGTCAGGTAGAGATATTTTCAAGTTAATACCTGTACTCATTTGTTCCATCGTAATTCCTTTGGGTTGCGGATAATAAAACATTTCTTTATGCTGGAGAGCTGGAGCATCTGTTTACCACTGGTTATGCATATCTAAAGAGGCAATGGGCTGTGCACCAACAGAGAGGCAATGAAAGACAGCTCCTTGCACTTCATCTGTTGTGAGATTTTAACATGCATTTTAAAGAGGAAGGTGTGGTTACCTTTTAGGGTGCCAGAGCATGCCTGCTACTTCCAGATGACTTGGACTCAGAAGTCTATGATCCAGTCACAATGAAATCCAGCCCTGCTGTGAAGAAGGCAAGTATTTTTTTCTAGTATTCTGCTATCACTATGTAGCGTATTTTGACATATTTAGCCTGAAAGTTCCTCAAATGTAATCATTTTACCTTTGAGATACATGTACGTTATTATGGAGTTTACAACAGGACATGAAAGTCTATAACTGTCTTTTTTGAGAAAGAAATTTCTTGTAGTTTCTGAAACCTAAAAGCTATTTCTCTCAACAGATCGCCACAAGGAGAACTGCAGATGGCAGAAACAGCAGCAGCACAAGGTATTATTTTGTATTAGCCTGATCTCTTGAGGGATAGTGGAAACGGCAGAGGCGAGCCAAGTGCCAGCAGAGACCTGGGCAGCTCTTCCTCATAGGTTGTCACGCAGGTGGAGGTGATTTCTGCCTACCTGTAGTGTCTCCTCTCCCTGCCAGCTCTGGGCTGCATCTTGGTGAATGGTTTTCCTTTAACACTCCTGCGCCTAGACCTCTGCACCGATGGGCCACCATGGCTTGTCTTTACTCTTGAGAAAATACTTTTTGTGCCAAATGGGGGTATATTTTTATTTTAAATCTTCCTTTAATTCCACCGCGTGCCTGGACAAAGAAACTTGCAGCTTAGAGCTACTTATTACAAGCAGACCATGAAGGACAAAGGAAGAAGTTCACCCCCAGTTCACCAGGGTCTCTTCAAAGGACAGAGCTCAGTAAGGCCAAGGCAAAGAAGAGCCTAATCATTCTGAATGGTGGCTTTCCTTTGTACTTCAACTGTATTTAGAGAGGTTTGTTTGTCTGCTGGGAAAACCTAAGTTTGCATCTGAAAATAGCGTAAAAACCCACTGATCTAAGCTATTACAAAGCAATGTTTCTTCATCAGTAGTAAGGACAGTAAACCCAAGCCAGCAGCTGGCTTCCCACTGAGCAGTCCTGCAGGCTTTCAAGTTATAGTTAAAGTGTCTCATGTGTGGTGCATCTTGGAAGGGTAGTGGGAACCCTAGAGAAGGGTGATAAAACAACTTGTTTAATTCAAACTCTTAAAGTGTCATTTTTTTCTTTATTTCTTTTTCTTTCCTTCTTTGCAGAGGTGAAAGCCACCCACAACCTCTTCAGGCAATTCCTCGATCTCCCTCTTTCTTTTACCGTGTATTGAGAGCAGCTTTACCTCTTCAGTTGTCCTTTCTACTGCTTTTACTTCTGGCTTGCATGGTTCCATTTTCTGAGGAAGACTACAGCTGCACCCGGAGAAACAACTTCGCCCGTTCTTTCCATCCCATGCTGCGATACATCAATGGGCCTCCACCGACTTAGAAAGCCGTCTCACGTTTATAGCCTCCTTTCCCTGTCACAGGGAACGTGGTAAATTTCACATCTGGGAATATATATATCTTGACAAAATTTCAGCATTTTTGTATGGAAAACAGACTTTTTCTATAGATTTTTAAACTTTAAGCAACACACTTTATACTTTGATGCAATAGACACGCTATTTTATAGGCGCAGTGCTCGTAAGCTTGCAAGGTGATTGAATACTGAGTTATTAGGTGCAGAAATTACATCACAGTCATCTTAAACACAGCAGTCTGTCTCGGGTTAGCACAGCAAACAAGCAGTTGAAGAGGCACTTTGCCTAAAATGATCACTGCACACACTTCACGTTACCTGTATCTTTTTGGTACTGTAGTCACTTGGTGCAAACAAAAAAAATCTACATCTTTTTTGAATCTTTGTTATTGTATTTTATTCTTCTAACACGTTCAATAAAAGGATGCACATTTGTTTTGGTTTACATAGAGTGTTCTAGTGGGTAGGACTGCTGTGTTGTCTTTTTATACCACCTTTGAAATAAGAAATTGTTGCGTTGCATGGAAATGGTTTATAATGCACATATTTTCTAGATGAACATGATTATGTAGACTATCCCCGATGTATACAAATAATGTAATGACTTTTTTAATGAAAGATTTTTTTCAGTTTTTAACCTGCTGAATAGTGTACAGTATCTTGGGAGAGAATTGTGCATTTTTATAAGCTTCCTCTTTAAAATGAAACTGACACTTGGGCGATGTCTAGAGAAACACTGTGTACAGTCCGCGTTGCCGTCGCTTCTCGGTTGTACAGTTGGAGTACTGTCATTAAAATTTTGCCAATGTCTGCAGGGACTATGGGTGTGTGTAGTGGGGGTCAACCAGCCGCGTGTTCCAGCAGTGCTGACCCTTCTGCTCCTGTGTAAGCCAACTTATTTGCATGTGAACACAACAGTGTCAGCAGAAGCATAACCACTCTCTTGCTTGTCAGAGCAAGAGATTAAAAATTCAGAAGAGGAGCCTGTGTTCGGGGGCACAGCTCCTGTCCTTTGCAACTGACTGTCGTTTCCTGGAGGAAGAACGCGAAGTTGAACCGACTGGTGCTTATTAGTAGTTCAAAATGCTGAACTGTTTCCCCACCCTGGAGCGAGTTTTCGAAACCGGGAGTTATGGCAGTGCTGGAGAGGGGGAAGTGCACGTCGAGAAGAGCTCAGTGCGATCATAAGTGTTTGGTTGAACACTGAAGAATTTTTGTATTTGGTTACAGTGAAAATTGCCCAGCCATTAGCCAATTTCTGTACTGCTTACCTATGGAAAACGGGATTTGTGGTCAGCCTGTGAGAATTCTCCCACCTTTTCTACACTTGTCACCACTGGTGGTTGCGTATTCCCCGTCTTCCGGCAGAGGGATTTATGAAGCAAGTTGCTTTGCATTCTCCTGTTCAGAGCGAGACGTGCCCACTGCTTTTTTTGCTCCCATGGTTGGGAAGAAGCCCAGTTTATTCCCAGGATACTAAACTAAACTAATACATTAAGTGTGATGCAGTTAAGCTTTGCAAAGTTAGCAATGTGGTTTAGGAAAGTCAAAGCTTAGAATTCGGCACTTTTTAGTAGTGGGACCGTACTGTAGTTTACATCCACACTGTGTGCTCAGATATGGGTGAAGATACGCCGGCTCCATGCTGGAGTGTCTCGGCCTCAGCCTCAAGTTCCCGGGCTCCAGCCTGCTCCAGACACAGCTCTTCCAGAGCTGGCAGCTTTCACAGCCGCTCTGTGTAGCTCTGTCTGTCTTGGGCTACAGCTACCGATTTCACAGCTACAGCTCTGAGAGTGGTGCGGTATCTGGAGATAAAGGACAGATCCCCCCCACCCCTCGCCCCACTCAGACACGCACACTTTCCTCTCTCCCTCTGCCATTGTTATTTTGTGTTTTGAAGCAATTACTTTCAGATGGAGCTCATTTAAGTTTCTCTCTCTGTAGAAGTCAGCCAACTCTTAACCATTATTTCATTGCCAGGTTGTCACAAATGCCCATGCAAACCTTTCTGCCAAGAACTAATAGTCAGTTGCTGACATGATATTCAGTTCTTCTGCCATTAAAGAACCTATGCAGGGGGAAAGAAATTTGAACAATGTTAAAAGGTCTAAAGAAAATTTCATAGCCTGCAATTTCCTTTCATTATGTACAGTTATATCAAATCGTTGAACTGATGTAATATATAAAATGAGGAGCTTTCATGAAATTATCTCAAAATGTCACCAAAAAAACAGTCCGGGAAAATAACTTAAATGGTTTTTCCCCCCAAAACTATTTAAATAGTTTTACTTCCAGTTGATTATAACCACTGTGCTGTAGGCTGACACTGAAGTCTGCTTCAAACAAGTCATTATATATACCCACCAATTTCTTAGTGTCGTCATCTCACTCAGGACTGGGTTGTTAGTGTTCAGTGAAAGAAAAAAATAAAAAGATTTTTAAAAGGGTAAGAGGGACAGCGAGAGCGAGCACACATGCGCCGGCTTTTGCACATGCATTCCGTGTAGGAGTGAGAACAGGCCAAAACTGGTTTTGACTTGAAATCTTACTTCTTTGGCAGGGAGATGAGGCCTCAATCTGTTTTCAGCTATACCTACCCCCTGCGCCCAAAAAACAGTCAGCAACAATTCTGCTAGTGTAGGAAGCAGAGGACCCTTTGTTTATTATGACTTGCCCCTCATCCTCCTGCAGTTAAATTTGCTGGTTCCTGAAACACGAGGGCACAACCTGCACCTTCTGTGGTCGCTTGGTGCTGGGAAACGTCCTCAGAACTGGGACACCTGACAAAGGAAATCAACCTGTGGAGCGACTGCGCAGGTAAGGATGAGACACTCACAGGCACCACGCTCACACACGTTATTACGTACTCGTGAAAGCAGGTTCAGCTCAGCTACAGGAGTGAAATGACCAGAAAGGAGTGTATTTAGGTTTTGTGATACCTGTTTATTCAGCCACGGCAATCTACAACTGAATGAAACGCACAGCGCTAGACAAATACCGTAAGTTCATAGAATTAAAGAGCAGCTGAGTGAAAGGGAGGGGTTGTGGGCGTTTTTTGCCGTTAGTGTACATAAAGTACTTTAAAAGGCACTGACTTCAGTCCTAAACCCATCTCCATTACAAACTTGCAGTGAGGGTGAAATGTTGAAACTACACCTACATGTGAAGTAGGACTCAGAACAGAAAATTCTGGGGAAAACGGGCACAGGAGAGATGCAGTAAGCCCTGTTAATGGTTGTGGCAGCTCCTTAGGGTGCGACACTGTGATGAGAGAAGAAGGTTTTGTCTGTTTAGGCAGTAGCAGCAGAAGTGGGCATTTTTATAGCACAGCAATCTTGTTTCCTTCATGCACTTAAATTTGAAATCACTGACGCTCAATAATGCATGAGGAGTGTAATGAGTCCTACGTGTAAAGATGGGAAGAGTTAAAAAATATCCAGATCATAAATAAAATGAAGTCTTAGCTATGGAAGTGTGCCATTTAACTCACCACACATCAGTTCAGTGGTAAAACACCATGAAAAATGAATGTGGATAATATTTATTTTCCATATTTTAGCAATGCACTTGCTTTTCCTATTCCCGTTTACAGCACTGGTTTTGGTATTAGTTCAGGCACTGAGTAAGCACCACAGATGACCACATCCTCAACTGCTTTGCTGAATCGTTATCTCGCAGGACATAAATAACATCAAACGATTTCTTCTGAGATGAATGGTGGTGATAGCAGAGGCAGTACCATGACATCCAGCTCGGAGTGGAGGGAAGGCTCACAGGAGCGTGCACCATCAATTGAAACGGTGCAGCCTGCAGCTGGGCTGAGACTAAAGGCAGCTGCCATGGGGGTGACTGTCCTCAGCTGTGGTGGCTAACAGAAGCTGGGAACAGTGGTTATAAGCTTCTCTGGCATCCAAGGATCAAGACAGAATATATTGATGTACATATTGAATATATATGATCGGTTTTCAGCCCTATAAAACAGTAACTCCTGTGACAGGCCCTTAGACTGTATTCACTTTAAGGCACCTCAGACAAAGCCATGCAAGTCCATACTTTGTTTTTAACTTCAGATCTGAAGGTAAGAACAACCTGTCTCCTGTGGGCACGCATCATAGAATGGTTTGGGTTGGAAGGGACCTTCAAGATCATCTAGTACCAACCCCGCAGCCACAGGCAGGGACACCTCCCACTAGACCAGGGTGCTCAAAGCCCCATCTGCCTGGCTTTGAACACCTCCAGGGATGGGGCATCCACAGCTTCTCTGGGCAACCTGTTCCAGTGCCTCACCACCCTCACAGTAGAGAATCTCTTCCTTATGTCTAATCTAAATCTACCCTCTTTCAGTTTAAAAACATTACCCCTCATCCTATCCCTACACTCCCTGATAAAGAGTCCCTCCTCGTCTTTCCTGTAGGCCCCCGTTAGGTACTGGAAGGCTGCTGTAAGGTCTCCCCAAAGTCTTCTCTTCTCCAGGCTGAACAACCCCAACTCTCTCAGCCTGTCCTCATAGGAGACGTGCTCCAGCCCTCGCATCATCTTCGTGGCCCTCTTCTGGACCCACTCCGACAGGTCCATGTCCGTCTTAGGTGCTTCAAAGCTGGATGCAGTACTCCAGTTGGGGTCTCAGCAGAGTGGAGTAGAGGGACAAAATCACCTCCCTTGACCTGCTGGCCACACTTGTTTTGATGCAGCCCAGGATGCCGTTGGCTTTCTGGGCTGTGAGTGCACATTGCTGGCTCATGTTCGGTTTTTCATCTGCCAGCACCCCTAACTCCTTCTCCTCAGGGCTGCTCTCCATCCATTCTCTGCACAGCCTGTATTCGTGCTTGGGATTGTCCTGACCCATGTGCACGACCTTGCCCTTGGCCTTGTTGAACTTCTTGAGGTTCACACAGGCCCATCTCTCAAGACTGTCCAGCTCCCTCTGGATGGCATCCCTTCCCTCCAGTGTGTCGACTGCACCACAC